GCGGTGCATCCTGACATCTGTGTGTCACCAGGCAGTTCCGTGCTGTTCCAAGAAGGCACTGCATACCTGTCTGGGCAGAGATACTATCTCCTTAGTAGCTGCTACCACAGCAGTATACATCTCCATGCTGAGCAGGAGGATGGCCTTTGAATGTGAAAGTGGAATTACTGTGAAAGGGCTGGTACATCATTTGCTCACACATCTGTAATAGGTCCAAATGTAGTCAGTGTTACTATCTTTAAACTAAGGCCTGTGAATGAACTGAATTTTTAGATCTCTCTGCAAAGTTTTCCTTGCAAAACTGATTTTCTTCATAAATCAATTATTTCAAACCACATGCACAATCTTACCAGCATTTCACATGCAGGTTACAAATACATTACCTCTTGAGAACGAAGCATCATGGAAGAAACGTACAATCTGTTTTGCAGGCTCAGGTGAGGCAGAGGTGGTTTATTTCTGCAGCTGTAGGATAATAAAAAGTTCAGCTTCCACTGATTTTTTTTATTTTTTTTTTATGAAAATATTAGGGCTTACATATTTACAGCAGACAATGACTGCCTTGTGATAGGGCCTGATGTGGCACAGCAGCATTTGCATAGGAGGAAGCTTTGTTTCAACAGATGTCAGTAACTAAATCTGGCACTTAATATTGCCATGACAAAAGTGTAGAAAAAAAAGAAATTGGGAAAAAATATTAAGAAATTAACCTGGTAGGGACAAAAGAGAAGAATGAACTTCCTCTTCAGATTGCTCACTCTCCAGCAATGGAGATCCCCATGGATCTTTCACACAGCAGACTAGAAAAGGACAATTATTTATTTGTTAGAATTCAACTAGATTAAGTGGGGTTTTTAAACTGAATATGCTCTGCTTCTTGTCAGATGCAACTTATTTTACTATTACGTCCAATACAATTGTGTAGCTTTTTGGCTTGCAAACACTGAAACTCATCTTTGTTCATGTGAGGGCAGGTGTGTGCTTATACACATAACTCAAACAGTGAGTGCTAGCAAATTATGTATTCAAGTGTGCCTTTGTGCTTCAAGCATAAGTAGAATTGAAGGAGAAAATATTCTTTTGTGAGTTACTCACATGTGTGTATAAGGTAGGGCTTTCCTGTAAACTTTGATTACTTTTGTAACCAGGATTATGAAAAAAAAAAAACTTATGTCCCCTTGTGTTGTCAAACTTTTAGGCAAGTTAAACAAGAGTAAATCTGAAAAGAAGGGTCCTAGAAAAATGCTACCATACCCCATTTGCAGCTTAACCCTTTAAGAAGTACAAAAATCCGTTAAAATTGAATTTCCCACTGGTATAGGCAGACAAATATAGACTTCTGGTAGCTGGTATGTAAGTCTTCCTTTCCATGCCCACCTTGGGTTTCAAAACAGAAGTTGTATCTCCCACTGGTTTTCCACTCTTAAATTACCAACAACTGCTAGAGGACAGAGTTAATTCCATCCACAACTGCTGGATGGAGTTAAGTGATGCCAGTCACTTAACTTGGCGGGGTTGAGAGGCTGGCACTTTTCACTCTAGGATAGTGAGGACCAGCAGGTCAGATGTTGAAGTGGTCAATGCACCTTTACATTAGGTCATGAGTGACCTTAGAGTGGAGTCATGCTGTTTTGTATTGTGTTATTATTTGAGTGGGTTTGGAGGGATACTGGCAGAGGAAATTAATCCCTTAACCCTGGTTTCGGAGAGAAGGAGTCTGAAATCATTATTAGTAGTGATCTAAGAAATCCTTGAATTTCTATAAATATTAGAATCCTTTCTGTACTGGCTGATGGAAAGCTGAGAAAATAAGAGGAAAGATGCAAAATAAATGAGTTTTAGGTGTGAAATGCCTTGGAAGTCCTCGTACTGCCTGCCTATCCATGGCATGCTACTTTCTATTCTTGTTTACGGACTGTCCTCATCTGGAGAGAGTTGCATCCAGGAAGAAGAATGGTCCAGGAGCTGGAAGTGTGAAGGGAAAAATAGGGAATAATCACAGATGAGTGAGACACTTTGAAATTTGCCAAGGAGACACAAACTAAGATTACAAATTAAGCAGGAGAGAAAGAGAGAGAGAAAGGGTGCTGACTACCAAGAACTAGAAGGAAATCTGAAAGCTTAACATGCTGTTATGTGGAAAGTTAGTTCTAAAAGCATCGGTGAGCAGGTGACACCCCATGCACAACCTTCTCTTTGTCTGCCTCGTATCAACATGGCAGAAGGTGATGTTAGCCAAAGAAAGATGGTCACTAGTTTCCACTGAACATCACAGTGTTGTTCTGGCTTTGCTTAGGCAAGGTCTTGCATTTGTTATTGAAATGTAAGGAACTGCTGGCAAAAATACATCCTGTTAAAAAAACCCTGTTCATGCTCAGTCGCACTGAAAACACCTGCCAGCTTCTAGGTGACCTGTTTGCTCTTCAAAATGTTTAGGAAAACACCTAGTGCCCTTCACATACTTGAAACCAACTGTTAAGTCAGCATGAGGGTCACTGGAGAAAAGAAAGTTTCCTTTCAATTTCTCTATTCCCTTTGCAAGGCTATCTTTCGTAAACATATTCCTAGGTCTCTAAGCTGGTTACATTCAGCACTTGCCCTGCTCGGTTTGGAGGGCGTAATTCAGTGTGGAGAAATGTTTCATGGGACATAATGTGTGTGCTGAATACAGGCAGTGCCAGTTTGGAAAAGCAACAACAAATGGGACTTTTGTTTTAAATAATATGGAACACTGGAGCTGCACTTTTATTTCTGCAAGGCAGGACAGAGTATATCCCAACAGATCTCATTAGCCACAGAGCTAATAGGGAATAGCCATTAGCTACAGTCTCTGTTGCCCTTGCTAATACAGTAAAGGCACAACAGTTTGTGTGTGCACCTAGCTCCCTTGCAAGTACAGTTTTGATATTAGCTCATAATTTTGAACACAGTTCCAACCAAAATTAACAAAACTTTGATATGTTTTATGTAAAGTTCACAAAGCCTGATGACACAAAACATTTTCTAATGCTTTGTCAAATCAGTATCATATCTGAAAAAAAACCAAAAAACCCAAAACTTGTACCTTATTGTTTTAAAGGAAGAGGCTAAATGAAACCAAGCTGGTAGGCAACAGCTGCAGCTGGGGTAAACATTCTCTTCTAAGTCATCAGGGCAGCTTTGGCATTTCCCCTAGTTTTAACTCCTGGATGGCCAGTCTGAACCTAGATGTTCTTAGGAAACCAGATGCCTTCATCTAAACTTCTAACTGCCTCAGTTCAGACAGCATCATTTTGAGTAGTTTGCATATCAACTGTAGTTCAAGTGCACGGTGAGGGATTTCTCTTGAATTTAGACTTGAGCTTTGAACTATTTAAAGGAGACTAGACAGCTAGACTGGACATACATGTCTACAAAGTTAGGTGAGATGAGTTTTCCCAATTTCTCTACACTGTGATTAACTTCGTGCTTGAATTCATGTTTTCTTACCTTGCAGTCTTCTGACCAGTGGATGTCAAAGTCCTTGTAGGAGTAGTCACTAGATCTGGGTTATCTCTTAAAGTTTACCATGGCCAGGCCTACAAATGGTTAATCCAGCCAAGCTACCTAACAGTGAGTTTTTATTTCTGAACAGTAACTAAATAACCTTTTGAGAGCTTAATATATGTGAAACACTAACTTCAATGCATATTTACAAAATGCCTAGCTGTAAATGTTGTGTTTTGTGTTGCTAGGTTTGCCCACTGGATCTATTCCACTTTTGGAAATTTAAACAAAATTTAGAGGAAAAACACTGTAGACATGTCATAGTCCCTGCAATTTTCTTTGTATCTGCATTACATGACTACGCAGATTTGGAAACACTACCAGACACACCTCAGTGCACGTGTTTACGCAAGGAAAGCTTCAATCTCCCACATTATCTAGATTCTGGGTCATAAGTCACATCCGTCCAACAATGCTGTAAACACCATTTCCAGCAGAGTAGTTTGACCTTTTACTCTTAAAAAAACCCTTCTAACAGCAAAAGTCAGCATTCCTAGAAGCCTAGAAGGGAGAGCAGCTACTTCTCAAGCAAGCAAGTAAAACCTACTTATGCAGAGTTCTGCTTTGCTGTAAAATGTGAACAAATTATTTCTGGTTGGATATTAACAGAAAACAAAATGTGGGCAGCTCGTGTCTCCACAGGGAAATCAGGAGCGAGCGTTCTGCTGTGCTTAGCACAGACGCCTGGGGCTCTCTGTGATACCTCTGCGGAGTTGGGTGATGTGCCAAGGGACATGCTACAGAGCCCGGCTCTCTGGAGCAGCAGCCGGAGGCCAGCAAACACTCCGGAACATGCACAGCGGTGTGGATGCCTCTGTGCAGCTGACTGAGTCCCACCACAGGCTTTCAGGCTGAATGTAAGACGGGGCAGAGAGAAATAAGAAAGTAAAGAGCCCAAAACAGAAGGTGGAGGCTTTAGCATGTGCTGTCAGTGAGTGAAGAGTCCCTTTCTGTGCAGCCTGACTCACCTCATGTATAGGGTACAGAGTGTCCCTTTTGGGTACCATTTTGATGCCTTGTCCTGTGGTTCTAGTTCTAAATAATTAAGCTATTTTATTATCAAGCATGGAACACATTGGTCTAACAGACATTGGTAGTGGAGACTGATGGGATAAGGATCATTTTCAGCTATAGAGCAGCAAAGCACATCTTACAGGAAGGACCTGAAGGAGAGAACCCCTGTATTGCAACAACTAGTATTTTTGTTTGATAGACTACAATTCATACAACCTGCCTGTGTAATACAAGAATATCCTAGCTCACATTTACATCCAGGGTGATTCAGCAGAATTTTACACAGCATGTTGACCTTGCCTGCAAGTGATGCCTGCAATAGTATTGACAAGCCAGATTAGATAAGCAGCATGATGCAAGCGAGTTCATGAAGATTAAAGATTGATACAGTTATCTGAAGAAATCAGTCAGAAGTGCAGAGGGCAGTTTGTCTTCTGACACTGCTTTTCATTCACTGCCTCCTACAGTTGTCTCTGGTGTGCATTTTCACCTAGTCGGATCCATGGAAACATTTTTGAGAAGAACAGGAAAAAACACTTCTGTGTCCAGGAATGAAATACAGAAGAAAAATATCCTGAAGGAATATCCCGCTTCACTAAGGGAGGAACCTTATGTAGGATTCAAACTGAATTAGTTGATGTGATTTATGTAAAATGGCAATCTATTATACGTAAAAAAAACCCAAACCATAAAATATTAAAATAAATTGTTTATTGCTATCACAGTATTTTTTTTAGTCATGGGAGCTTTTCAGCTGTTCTGGTTATTTTAAGTAGCAGGTTGCCAAACAATGAAAATAGGAAGCAACAGTTTTCTGCTGGCACAGAAGTTCCAAATAACCATGGGTCTCATGAATTTCACATTTGTACACTGTCATCATGAGTCAGGATTTTCTATAGGTGAGAAGTGACTAAACAGACATAATTGGTTTTATTTGTTTAAGAAATATGAGTCTCCCAAAGAGAACTGTTTGCAATTCCCTTTGTAGGAGGGGCTACAGAACTATATAATCTCAAAACAAAGCTGCTGAGAGCTTAGAGCGAGTTATACTGTGTACAAGGTAAGCTTTTTTGCACAAGAGTAAGCAATTAGTGTAACTGAAACTAAGTCAGTGAATAGGTTTTATTGATTACTTGTCTGTACTTTATTAACATGGTTATGTGTGTGGTTATGTTAAATTATTGATCAATTGCTTTCTAGGTGTACAGATTTAAGATAAACAAATATAGATCTCAAGTGTGGAGTGTTTCCTCTCACCTCCTATTTCAGAGAAAATACGTTTTTTTTACAAGGGGAATATGGTGGGTTTTTAGTTATTTTCTTTTTGCTGCTGTTTAAGCTTCAGTTTTATTGTTGACATGATGATGATAACTCTCAAGCTAGTACAAACTAGGCACTGCCTACATGTATGCTGCTGATATGCACGCACTGATTCTGACCGGGGGCATGACAGCCTATCTACAAACTGGTGTTGCTTTAAATTCCAGCAGAGTTGGAACTGTCCAAGCAGGTATTGCATGTTGGCTCTGCCTGTGGTAAAGGGAAATCTAATATTACCTTAGACAAAATTAAATTCTATGTCTTCAGATGTTTGCCTAAAGAAAAGGGATTAGTGGGGAGTGCTGTAAATGAAACTGAATGCTTACAGTGGGGGTAACAGGAAGGCTTGTTACCTTACACTAGAGCATAATGGCTGCTGAAGAAAGCACAGCAATAGGTGAGTTTATGTTGTGTATCTGATTAAACAGTAATCTATCCAGAGACAATGCCAAAATAAAAGAGAGCAGTGTATCTCACATGCCCTGTTTTTTTGGTCAGAGCAAAAGAGTTTGGGATGCAAATGGGTTTTGATTTGCTTATTCTCTGACATGGGCCAATTGCTCCCAGTACAGTTTTGCTTAACTAACCTGCACATACAACATTCTAAGGCTAAATGATACAATGCAGTCCCTCAATATAGTCTTTTACCTCCTCTACTAATGTGATGAGAGTCTTGGATGATAAATCATTGGTTTCAAAGAAGACAACTTTGAACAATGCTTGAGAAATTGTTAGAGACTCAAAACCCGCATTCTAAATCTTTGTTTTGCAAAGCTTACTTTATTCCAGATAGTAGGAAATCAGTGGAAGCATGTCTGGGAAGCCCAAGCTGCACTACTTCAACGGACGAGGCCGAATGGAATCAATACGATGGCTACTAGCAGCAGCTGGGGTTGAGGTTTGTCCTGTTTTTTATAGTAAGAGCATCTCACATATTTTCACTGTTCCTTATAAGAAATGTGACTGACCAGCACTTTCAAGCTCTGCATTTAGTGTTTTGCTGATCAAGCCAACAATGACTAGCTTACCCTAAACAGGCAGGCAAGTTCCCATTTCAGTTCCAAGCACCATGTGCCAAGCACACTGGTAGCACCATAAATGCCTCTCCCCAGTAGCTAGTGAAAGCAAAAAACCAAAATGACAGCAGCAGAACCTGGTCTCTTATCTTTTGATCACACGGGTTGAGCACTTTCCATTCCGAAGACCTTCAGTTAAATCCCAATGTCCACAATAGCAAAAAAAAAAAAAAAAAGTTCTATGGAATAACTGTGGTAATGTGGGGGATCTGTGTGTTTTAAGGGCTGTGAGTTTGTCACAGTAATGGGCAATAGGCCAGAAAGCTACATAGGACACTCAATCTCTTCTCTTTGCCTCCCCTTTTGCCAGCTTGTGGCAAAGGAGCCACAGTTGTGCTGCTTCAGTGTGAATTTACCTACCCTCCTTTCTCCCAGCACTGACATCAGAAGTGGAACAGTCACTATTTGCTCAATAGACAGGGTTTTGTGCCTTTCAGTCACCTCAGCTTTAGCCAAAATCTTACCTGCACAGAAATATGAATCACATCTGAGAGGGAAGAGGAGAGAATGTGACAACGGCAAAATAAATTTTTAAAGATATCACTTCCAAATCTGATTTATTTTTCAAAAAATAAAATTCTCCAAAACACAGCTTTTTGTCTCATGCAAAGCAGCTAAATATGCAGTGATAACACAACATTTTTTCTTTATTTCCTGCAGTTTGAAGAATGTTTTCTGGAAACAAAGGATGATCTGACAAAGTTACAGAAGGGTAAGTTTCCTTCATTTTCTAATAATTAGGTAATACTATATACAGGTAATAGAACACCTAAGAAGTGTTATGTCCAGCAGCAACCTTAACCCACACAAACTCTTATTTCGTAGTCTTTGTGTTTGCTGATGAAATTAATGGTGAAAATGATGAAAATAGTGAACAGGTTTTTGATCTCTCATGAGTTTAGTGGTGGACTTGACAGTACTGAGTTAATGGTTGGACTTGATGATCTTAAGGGTCTTTTCCAACCTAAATGATTCTATGATTCTAAATAAAAAATTATGTGTGATTCCTTTGCCAAACACACACTAATGGTTCTCATTCAAATAGTGAATGTCTCCTTGTCTTGTCCCCTTTTTGCTAGATGGATTCCTGCTGTTTCAGCAAGTGCCAATGGTGGAGATTGATGGAATGAAGATGGTGCAGTCAAGAGCCATTGGCAATTACATAGCAGCAAAGTACAACCTCTATGGAAAGGACCTGAAGGAGAGAGCCCTGTACAGTAACAGTACCATATTTTCCTGTTAGGCTACAGTTCATACTACTGCTCTGTGTTAACACAAGGTATCCCAGCTCATAGTTAGATTCAGGGCAATATAGCAGCTTCTCATGTAGCATGTTTTAACTGTGACTGCAGGTACAGTTGTATTACAGCAGTAATAACCAGCTAGATTAGCTAGGCAACACAGTGCAAGGGAGTTCATGAAGAGCAAAGGTCAACAGAGCTAACAGAAGAAAGCAGTCAGGTGCACAGACTGTCTTATAAGGCAGCTTTTCATTTTCTCCCACAGTTGGCAGCAGCAGGTATTTTTACCACATCAAATTCAGGGAAATGTCTTCAAAGGAAACAAAAGCCTTGTCTAATAACCAGGAATTAGAGTTAGAATTACTAATTGATTATTAAATGACAGGGCTTCTAGGACACATGGTCTGACCTGAATTATTTTTAAATTCTTCAAGTTAATTAGCATTGGTAAACACGTTAAGCTATTTGTTAGGATTTGTACAGACCCATTGTTTAACTTGCCACCATGTCTGACTGGATTTTAACGCATTTGGATGACACCATCCTTAACGCAACCTTAATACAGAGAAGTATCACTCCTAGTCAAAAACTGAAGGGGTATAGTCTTCTAGTTTTTTGTAGGCACTTTGCACTTTTCCTTCACCCATGCTCTCCTGTCCAGAAGAACTGCTCCAAGCTAGGGATACTGGATAGAAAAGGCAGAGTTCCCAACATCTCAGTGGGGTTATGGCAGTAGCTATTGTGCTATTTCAACCTACTGTGTTTGACTTGACCAAATGGATCTATACTTTTCAGAATTGATATGTATGTGGAAGCAATAATAGATTTGAATGAGTTACTGATGACGCATAGTTTCCAACCAGAGGATAAAAAGCAGCAACATTTTGCTAATCTTGTGGACAAGGCCACAAACAGATACTTCCCAGTCTTCGAGAAGGTATGTGGCAAAGATGTAGTAGCTTAATTAATATTGTTTTCCTGAAACTCTATCCTGGATCTACACAATTTTTACTGAGGAAAACAGAGAAGAAAAATTACAACTAACATATAAATGCTATGGTTTTGGTGGGACTGGGATGAGGATGGAGATAGGACACTACACAGGGGACAGCAGGCACTACAAATCCAGGAGAAAGATACAAAGCTGGAAAAACCCAGGACGCACCGAGCTCCCCAGATGTCCATGCTGCAGTCTGTGTGTTGTTTCAGACAAAAGACACTATAGCATCAGCTTTTACATAAAGTTTCCTCCTGAAACAAAGAACCCCCTCTCCCATTCATGCTGTGTAAAAGCATCACAACCCCTTCTGTAACAGACGGAAGGATGGATTAGCTGGGTGTCAAGACCCTGAGGCACAGGTTACACAGACAGATCTCCCAAATTCCTCAAAGAGGAAACAGGTGAGAAGGCATCTTCCCATAATTTGAAAGAGTCCATGATACTCTATGTCCTGGGCTGAACTTAAGCATCTTGCAAATCTTGTACAGGCACTCGCAGTGATGGTTATGTGGTTATATCCCATAAAGCCTTCAACACAGCAGTGCTGACTACAGGAGCTACAGAAGTAAAGGCAAGAGGGATACAACTGACCTGGCAGAAAGAAATGCAGAAGAGCAAGGGCTGAGAAATTATGCCTAGGATGACAGTGTGGTCGTTAGTTTGAACTACAGATTCAAATTAACACTTCCTTCTTTTTCTACATCATTTCCTCCTTTCAAAGATAACTCCATGCAGTGTATGACCTTGCTTTGAAGATATAGTAAGTCACAGAAAGGGAAAAAAATAATCACTTCTGGTTCTCTGGTTTTAGGTTTTGAAAGACCATGGGCAGGACTTTCTTGTGGGCAATCAGCTTAGCAGGGCAGATGTGCAGTTACTTGAAAGCCTTTTAATGGCAGAAGAATGCAAGCCTGATATCCTTGCCAAGTTTCCTCTCTTGCAGGTAACTGGACAGTTTTAAAAGACAATGAATCAAGGGAGCACCACTGATTTAAACTGGCTGAGAAATATGGGAGACTGGGTGGGTGAGTGAAGAAGTGACAGAAAAAATCAAGTATCCTAACTACTTTTACTTGGCCTCAAATACTGGTGGTTATTGCTGCCTTCTGTCACTATAGCCACAAGTAAGTAATAGGACGAAGCATACAGATTCTTCTGCATGATGAACCCATAATGATACTTTTATGGCAACGATAACATCTTAGTATCTGACAGCTACCATTGTTCTTAAGCATAGTGCTGTTTTTGTTTTGTAGAGTTTTAAATCAAGAATAAGCAACATCCCCACAATAAAGAAATTCCTGCAGCCTGGCAGCCAGAGGAAACCACCACTACAAGAGAAAGATTTACCAAGAGTGATGAAAATTTTCCACTGAGCAGCAAACTTAACCCACAGAAACTCTTATTTCGTAGTCTTTGTGTTTGCTGATGAAATTAATGGTGAAAATAATGAAAATGGTGAACTGGGTTTTGATTTCTCTTTCCTTAACAACTGTTTTTAGCCCTTTGCAAATACTTCCAAATTAAATCTACACAAGCATACTAGCAAATGAAATAGCTCACTGCACTGGGGTGGGGTGTGGGGTGTGTGTACACTGGACAACAAAGGATGTCTTAAATTACTTGACAGAATACTGAAATAAAGTCTTACAACTGACACACAAAACCAGTTTGTTCAAAGACTTCTTGCTGCTACTTATAGCCTAAGAGCTCTCTGGTTTTGTCTTTCTGGCATTCCCAAGAGCTGCTGGAAAACGAAAACAGCTTAGCCCTAACAGTGGGTGATACATTTGTTCTGAGAAATGACAGGAGAAATCTGCAGATTCTGGTTTGATGTGGATGACATGTTTGGATTCTGCTTTCCTCTGGACTTAACTCGGAGTATGCTGGGACCAGAGGTCGTATTGCACCTCTGTTCCGTCAGCAGACATTTAAACTCATGCACTGTAACTTCACCGCCGAGCGCGGTCAGAAACGCGAGCTGGGAAGCTTGGCCGTGGCTGCCGGCTCTCTGCTGTGCAAGCTCCCCTGCACAGCCAAGCGTTTGGGAGCCTGCGTACAGCCCCAGCCTTCGGCCTCGCAGAGCCAGAGCCCCCAGCACATGGCCAGTCGGGTGTCCTCACGCAGGGACTGCGACCCAGGCCTCTTCCCCGGCCCCGCCACCGCTGGGAACCCCACTGCCGCCTCGGGGCCTCGGAGCCTTTCTTCTGCCCCAGCGGCCGTGTCCCTCTGGGGCGTAGCCGTGGCATGCCGCCGACCTCGAACCCGGCCCTCTGCGAAGAGTGGCTTCGCAAGACTTCAGGACAAGGCCGCGGCAACTCTTCTTTCCCCAGGCACGCTCGCACGGCTCAAGGACGCGGTTTACCGGCGGAAAGCCAGGCACCGCTACCCCCGCGCGGCTCATACGCCACCGGCGAGAGCGAGGGCACGGAGGAGGCCGCCCGGGTGGTGCGGCCGCGGAGGGGAGGAGCGGCGAGGCGAGGCGAGGCGCGGCGCGGAGGAGAGGGCGGTCCCTGCGGATCTGTCTGGGCAGCGCGCTCTGTCGGCGGTGCGGTGCGGTCCGTGCGCAGGGTACTGGTGGCGGCGGCGGCTTTGGGGGGCAGTTGCGGGACTTGGCAGCTCCGCCGGGGTGAGGGGTGTGGAGGGGAGCCGGTCCCTGCTCGGGAGAGGGTGTGAGCTGTGCTGCGACGCGCGGTCTGTGGCGGCGGGGGCTCTCCGGGTGGAATGGCGCCTCGCCGGCAGCAGGACGGGACACCGGCGGTGCTTGGCCGGCTGGGTACGGAGGGTCGGGTTGGGCTGCACTGGGCTTGGCTGCCAGCTCTCTCCAGGTCACCGTGCGGAGCGGAGGGCGGCCAGCCAGTGCCCTTTGCCGGGAGAGCGAAAGGCAAGGCCCGTGTCAGAGCCGTTTGTAGTTCAGACCGTGCCTGGGTGAGCTGCTGCAGGGACCCAGGCCGGGCAGGGAGGGTGTGCATAGGGCGCTCTGTGGGTAGCTCCAGCAGGAAACTTGCAGAGGAATTGCATTTGGAGACAGAAGGTTTAAAATCTCGAGGTAATTTGCCTTTCACTCGTGCAAACACTCGTCCTAGCTCTGGTGGAGCAAGGAACGCTCCCTGAATCGGGACTTGGCTGGAGGCCCAGTAAAAACCACATGCTGGTGAGAAGTTTGTTTTAGGGTGGTCTGGAGACTGAGCTGGGCCCGATGCAGCATGGGACCTGTGCTGTGAGGTCCGTGTGCTTGAGCAGCCTTGTGTGAGCGGTGTGTGAGGAGCAGAGAACTACTTTGGGGCCCACATCCAATTAGAAAGCAAGTTTAAGGTCTTGCAGCAGATTATGGGATTGCTGTTAGAGTCACTTGTTTCTTACTGGAGGGCTGCTGCCTGAATTAGTTTTGGACAAAACGGGGTGATTTTTTAAAAAACTGAGATTGCAGCAGTAGCTGTCACTGGCATCTGCCTGGTGGAGGTCCAGGGAAGATCTGATGCAGTGAAACATCGAGAAAGTTTGTGATTTGTTTTCAGGTCAGTTATTGCTATTGAAGAAAGGCAACTTACCAACTTGACGACTCTTTCGTGACTCACTGCTTTACAAAGAGATAGTTGTTGCAGAGCAGGAACAGAGTGGCCAAAGTACTTTGCAATGGTGTGTAAGTGTTCAGTCTAAGCCCCAAGGTCAGTCCTGAAGCAGTGCAGTTCCAGAAAAGTGTAAACTTTTCCTCACCAGCACAGAAAGCCTCAACCCTTGGCCGATCCTCCCAAGGAACTGTGATGAACAAGTGCAGGTTATGTTGATACCTGGACTTCTTCCCACTGACCCTTGCTGTGCTCTTTGGCTTCCGCAGGTGATTGCAGTGGAGCAGTGAGGTGACATGGGCCAACAGGGCTCTGGCTGGGCTGATTTTTATCAGCTCTACCTCTGCTTTGGGGAGAGGTCAGGGAAGTTTGCTTTTTCTGCTTACACTAGTCTGTAACCGTAGGTTGTTTCCCAGCCTTGATCCCATGAACTGACGGTTAGAGTGCTTGTCCAGTCCGTGAGTGCCCCGTTGCCGTTCTCTCAGGTGGAGCAGAGATGAGGCTTTCATCTGCTTCCTGAGCACCAGGGAATGAAGGTTTTCTTGAAGTATGGAAGATTGAGAGCTCTTTCACTCGGTATAATGTAACTCACACACACGGGAACTAGAAATGTTCATGGTCTTCTGTATGTGGGGCTTGGTAAAGGTAGTTGTGATGAGGCAGTTCTCTAAATACCTTATTTATGCACCCTGTTGCTCTTCAGGTATACAGGAATCTGTGAAGGCACCCAGCAGCTCTAGACTAGATGCCAAGTCAAAACCATCAAGACATTATCAAGTCTTTTATTATTGAGCACATATTTATGTGTCAGGGGAACTTTGCTGCAAGAGACTGAGGTGTCTGGGTGTCCTGGGTTCAGCAGTAGCAGTCAATTTGCTCCTTCTTGGTAGCTGGTGCAGTGCAGTGTTTTGACTTTCGGCCTGGGTACAGAGCTGATAGCGATGTTTTGGTTTGGCCAAGGACTTTGTGAGCCTCATGCTCTGCCAAGGAGGAGGGCAAGCCAGGAGGAAGCAGAGACAGGACACCTGACCCAAACTGACCAAAGGGGTATTCCATACCACAGCACATCATGCCCAGGAGGTAACTGGGAGTTAGCCGGAAGGGCTGGGAGACTGCAGGGTTGGAGGAGGTATCGGTCAGAGCTTGGTCAGGCTGGGGGGGCGAGTTATCGGTCAGCTGGTGGTGAGATGATGTATTCTCTTCCCTTGTTATTTCCTTTATCATTATTATCATTGGTGGTAGCAGTAGTGATTTGTGTTATACCTTAGTTACTAAACTGTTCTTATCTCAACCCGTGGGAGTTGGATTCTCCTCTCCGTCCCTCCGGGAGCAGGGGCAGGGCAAGAAAGGGGGGGAAGTGAGTGAATGAATTACCTGACTGGGTTTAAACCACGACACTGGGATACAGGCATTGCCAGGGCCAAGTGGGAGTGGGGCAGTGGTTTTTCAGACCCATTTTTTTGGATGGGGGCACCAGGTTTCTTCACTGATTGGAATCATGGCCAAAGTTTCCACTTTGTGGCTAAATTACGAACTCTGAAATCTATCCAAGAATAAATAAGCCTGCCTGTACACAGATGAAACCTTTGCTTAGCGATGAATTACTTTGTCACACTGTCTTCTATGAAACCTGCTTCATTCTCCTGGGATCCATTAGTCGTAAGAGTACAGTGCTAGCTTTGTTTCCAGCACCAGGCAAGCTCGCATCAGCTGCTGAGATCATACTGCGGCATGTGACTGCACTGGTTAGTGAAATTTGAGAGAGCAAATGTTTCATCCCAGTGCCATGATCTGGTGTGCTGACTTCAGTTCCCTGCTGCTGAGGGCATTGACCAGTTTGTTTGGATTTGATTTGAAAGTTACATTTTTAGGGCAAATAGGATATAAATCCTTGTTACAGTTTAACTGTTGTTTATAAAATTGGAATGAGTCTTAAGTCAGTGCACATTATCTATAGTGCATATACTGTGATTCAGGATTACCTTGCAGTTCTGCTTTGGTTGTAAAGCTCTCATGAGCTCTTGCAGCTATGTTAGTATTTTTAAAGATATGTGTGTGATTTAAACATATACGTACGAATTTAGGTGTTTATTACATTTTCTCATTCTCTTTCGAATTGTTGCGTGTTCTGGTGTATGTACTTTCTCTTTTCTTTCACCAACCCACAGGAAACTTGGCTGCATCAAGTATATAGGCCTTGATTGCCCTTTTACCCACACTTTCATCCAACTTTATTGAGTAGTTCGGAGTGGAACATTTAAAATGCTAATTTTAAAAATTACTTTCTTCCGCACAAGATCGTCATCTCGAATTTGTCAGGATAAAAGAAGTCCGAGATCATGGCAGGGAAGCCCAAGCTGCACTATTCCAACGGAAGGGGGAGGATGGAGTCAATCCGATGGCTGTTAGCAGCAGCTGGGGTTGAGGTGTGTACCTTTTTTATAAAGTGATCAGATTAATCTGTGATTTAACTATACTCTTTGGAAAGGTTTCCCGATAATGTCTGTGCTTAGAGATATACACATCACATACTGTGATGCAGAACGCCTAGAGTCAGTGATACGCTCTCTTATGTTGTGTTTAATGTATTTCGTGAGCTATTAGTTGCACAGTAAAAGGGTTCTAACACACAAAGAGAATTGTTAAGTGGAGCGTTTGAAACGTCCTTTAAGCTGAGATCTTAAACTGTTGCTACACACCACAACTGTGTATCTCTTTTTTTGAATGATCATTACTTCCCTGTGCCTCATGAGTATTCTCCACTGGAAGACCATGCCTACCACATGAAAACCTTTAGAACATCATCTCCAAAGTGCTTGTCATTCTTTGGGTTAGGACCCAAGTCAGATAAATAAGCAGAGCTGCCCTGAAGGCAGGAGGGAGATAT